GATAATCTTCTGTTTGAGTTCATCGAATTTTTCGATTCGCTCATTGCTGGTGCCGTACACTTGGTCGATCAGTTTCGGCTTTACGTTCATTTCGATCAGTCTGATAACGTAGGGGGCGTCCTTAGCATATCCAGCGTCTCTCATGATGACTTCAAATTCCTTGAAGAAATCCTCTGCCCTCTCATTGGGGCCCTGACGGAGATGTTCTAGCTTCTCCTGTGCGTTCTCTGTAAGTCCTTTGTCTAGGAAGGAGGCATTCAATGCGTCCTTGAATCCTTTCCAGGTGACTTTCCATTCCTCCTCATCGTCATTGAAATTATCGTCCGTATAATTCTGGACCCAGCTACTGACTTTGGGACCTCGCATATACGAGACCGCAATGTCAATTCTTTCACTGTCTGTAACGATCCTATTCCTTGGATCACGAATGTAGGCAAAGAGGGTACGACGCCACTCTTTGAACTGCGCTTTGTCGCCATCAAAGATGCTAGGTTCTCTGAGCAACGACTTGCCATGAATGTTGGAGGTAGTGGTGGTGGGAACGGGAGTAGGGTTGGACATGCTGTAGTTGGGTGGTATGTAGGCAGGTATGAATGAGGTGATATTTCGTTCAATAGAAGATGAAGTGGATGGAGCAGATGAATCAGGGGTACGGTAACGATCGGTTTGTACCGAAAGTCTAGGTCGTCCTAGTCTTGAAGTAAAATCCGTTGTAAGGAAGACGAGTTACTAATGCAACCCGGTGGTGATGATGGGAAAATGTATGATTGGATTTGTAGAAGTCGAGAGTAGTGTGGGAGAGATTTCGAAAATAGAGTACGATGATGTGGGAAGCAGCCTTCCACTCTCACTTGATGAACAGATGCACCCTCCCTGTCTAGGAATGGAGCTCGTTGTGCACGCGAAGACCCCTCTCCGAAGATTAGTGATCAGTCGACGCTTTCGTCTGCCAGTACGGTGTCGGACTCAACGTTACACCTTTGTACTATAGGCGACACTGCTCGAATAGAGAGTAGAAGTCTGTGAAGGGTTGGTAAAAATGTGAGCGGGGATAATTGTGATAGGGATATGATTGCGTAGCGTGTGACAGGTGGTAAGAATAGCTTTGATCTTCTGTCAGCGACTGGTTCTAGTAACGGGTGTCACCAGGTGTCACACTCAAGAAAACCTCAGATAGTGAAGCGATAAAGGAAGCAAGCAGAGCTCTGGGCTAAACCAGGTAGAATAGACGAGATCAAAGCTAAGGAAACACAGCAAGTAGCTACAGCCTATATACTAGTGAACAACCCTCTGCCCTAGTAATGCCCAACGCCCTGGGTTAGTGGTAAACATGAGTAAAACATAAGTAAAGCAATGTGTAAGTAATGGAAGCTCGATCGCCATGCTGTATACGTGTTGTGATACTGCTGTGTTTAATATAAGTAAATGAAAAGCGCATGTTGTATCAGTAAGCATGAATAATAGGTCAGGTGACAAGATAAGACAAGATATAGGATAAGGGAGATAGAAGATAAGACAAAAGATAAAAGATAAGACAAGGGATAAGGAGAAAGATAAGATGAAAAAGAAGTGATCATAACAGTTGCATGGTTGAGGAAAATGACTAGAAGAACAATTGAAGTACTGCGAGGCTCCGAAGACATATCAAATGAATGTCAAGGAGTCCTGACGTAGAAAATATTGAAGAATACAATTAAATGAATACTATGTGTAACTCCCTTGATAGAGTATAGGCACAATGGGTGTCTATTCAAAGAGAGAAGCAATTAGTTTAATCCAGATGAATCAGATTGATAGGATTAGAATCGAGGAGAGCTGATTTGCCTCCGGACGAGGTGACAAACAATCGAAGTAAATGTTGAACAGCAATGACAGCTGAACACCATTTGAGTCATTCTCCAAAACAATTAAATTAAATGAATACCAAAGTACCTACCTATGTTTGGAGGTATACTAGAATCTTGGATCCATTATGGACCAAATAAGGACATGTAGATTCAAATTAAATGGTATCTGACTGATTGTAGAAGTCTCCTTGCAGTTCCGAACATTTATTTTATTAAATTAATTGTACTGTGATACAAGTGATTTTGGGACGATGTTGCAGTGCTAATCCGTAAAAAGAAAAGACACACTCCCACCAGACTGAAACCTCTTCGCTAGCAGCCATTCGGGCCCGGCACTTGTGAGTATAGGAACATCGTGTTCTGCTCCTTGTGACTGTGAGAAGTATATCCAGTTGTTGGGTATTCTTCAAACCTAGGATCAGTTGTTGGTCTTAAGGGCAAATCACGCTGTGTGGTTGTGCCAGCACATAGTTCTAGCCCTCTGTAGGGGTCGGTGTGTTTTGGTTTTAATTTACTTTGATTTAAACCCCCAATTCTTGATATACCCATATCAATACAATCAAAGCACAAATTGTGCTGAATCTACCTTAATCAAAGGAATATACCAAATCCTTAGAATGATTCAAATTGATTGATCGAAGCTTCTTACCTAGCTCTCAAAGCTTTGCAGAACCTTTGACAATGCTACCCCTTGCTATTAAATAAATTTGATAGCAGAGAACTCGCATATTGTGTATTAGATTGGTTGGTTGGAGTGCACATTTGATTCCTTCCATTCCCTTTCACACAAAAACGAGGCAAGCTCGTTACCGGATAATATCATTATGTTCCATGCACTTTTTCATACAGTTCCCAAGGATACCTTTGATTATGTATGCAATATGCTGGATCCAAGTACTGATCTGTTCTGGAAAACAGTTGCTTCCCTTCCTCAGGTGCAGCATCTATCTTCCTCTTATTGTGGCATTGAAGGTAACAGATGTATTTTATTATGGTACCTGAGCAAACTGAGGTACTCAATCTGTAGATGATGAATTTTTTGTTATGGATAGCTCTTCTGTACTTCCAGTCCAGCAAACAATTGATGCCAAAACCAAAGTTCCTTTAAGGGTAAATTATGCAGAGTTTTAGTGTCACTTGGTGCTATGTGGAATCATGTTGGATGCCATATTTTCCTTCATAAGTGTAATATTGTTGACCCATTGGTTGTAAAATTTCAACATCTGCTAATTGTTAATTAGCACTGACAATTATCTAGATCAGAGAATATCCTTATGGTTGTCAAACCATCCTTATTACTAGCAAGAAGGGAAAGAAGCAAACTACAGCATCTAATTGGAATTATCACTACACACATATGTCATTCTCAAGTGCATGCTCTTCATCTACAACATCACCATCAACAAATATCCTGATATATTGCATGCTCTGTAAGTCTCACCCAACTACCATGTGAAAGTACAATATCTTGGCACACCTTGTTGCTGAGCATGCATATCTTGAACCCCTTCAAAGTGGTGTACATCTCCCACATCGGCAGTCCAACACTGATGACTAAGTTTGATTTCGCGTAATTTCGGCTTGATTCGGACATTCAGTCATTTCCAGGTCATTTCATCGAATTTCTCGGTCGAGGGCCCCCTGGGTCCACTGAGACCCTCAACCCTAAAGGTGGCAAGAATAATTGCCTGGTCTGCGCGCGTCTAGCGCGCGCTAGGCATCTGAAGGTCAGGTCGCTTTCAGCGACCAAATGACCGTCTGCAACTAGTCACAAAAAATTGACCATGACCCTTGCCCATGACCAAGTGGTCCAACACTGGTCGGAACGGACAGAGAATCAGATAACTATGAAAGGAATTTTTGCACAGGCGCTCGAGGTTATGGATGTTCATTGACCGTTGCAAGCAAGGTGATATTTCCGCCGCGCTGTAACAGGTCATGGGGGAGAGAGATGAGTGTATGGGACCGGCGACCAAAATTTTGTGGGGATAAAGATACGGTCGGACACACCGTTCACAACTTCGTGAGCGGTACCGAGCAACCCCGAATTCTTTTTACCTCGAGATCGCAATCCTACCTTACCTACGTAAATCCCAGGATATCCCAGTGTTCACAATAATCTCGAGGCGTATCTAGGGCGGATGAAGTCCATAGCGCACGGACGAAATTTTGCCCAAGGATTTTGGCTACTGTATAAATCATTTTGCATTGGAAAGTCGCCGGAATGAACGGATCCAGGGCGAAACCGATAGCGTACGGATACATCGTGTTTTATGAACCCTCTAACGCTTCCGCTCAAACTATTGGAGTCTGAGCATCTGACGCTAGACACCCCGCAGTTGGCGCGAGTAATACAACCATGCATTCAGAGCTGGTTCATACGATTCATACGGCGGATGGTACAATGTAAGCTGAGGTTTCTGCTAGATCGCAAAATCATTCACATACTCGTTCTCGAAGCCCTATTAATCAGAGGTGAATACATAGAGACAGGATGTTTTGGGTTACCTGGTTGAATCATACGCCTTAACTATCACTGCCTCCAAGAGCAGCTTCGTCCGCCAATCTTTCCGCCAATGGCAGTGGAAGTTCCAGTAGCGAGACAAGCTGAAAAGAGTAGAGGCTGATTTACGAAGCCCCTCCACCACTAGCTCTTCCGCCCACAGCCGCTGTCGTCCCCGAATGCGAAGACATCTATGTGAGAGACTAAGCAGGATATCGATGAGAACTTAAGCAGAACAGCAGAACAGGGCGCGGATTCATACTTCTTGATTCTGATAAAGATACCCGGGGAAGGTTAATAAGGATCTAATCCTGATCAGTTTAGGCGGAACACTGTTAGAAGGGGAATAAGGCACATATTAACATTATTGCGGAGGAGCCGCAAAGGTTGGTTTTTGACGTTCGCTCATCGATATCATCGACCTTTGTCTGAAAATTATCTGAAGGCGGGGACAGCGAGCAGTATAGCCCTGATGACAAGGTGAATAGTCAAGCATTGGTAGATTTGGACAAAGCTACCGGTGGGGCTCGTTTTTCTCGATGGGAATTTTAAGAACGATGATCGCAAAACCAAAAGTTGTTCGAAATAAACAATAGACAACATAGGAAGATCGCCGGCATGCCGGACCGTAGGATTGCTTGTTCCACATCATGCAGGACGGTGTGGACCAGCTTCATTATAATCCTTTCGCAGCTCCCGTAGACTCACGCTCAAGATCATTATCTACTTCATCCCTACAAAACACTTCATTCTTTCCAACTTCACCAAGTACACTATCTGTCACTGCAAATATTCATAATGATGATAGAGGATTCTGTGCTGGAGGGGACAACCAACACACAGAGATAAGAAAAGCTCAGGCCGAAGACGCCAGTATCCTCGATCATCACCCGCTGCGCAGTGCTGGACTATCTAATAGCTTCGAAGATGCCGGAGTCACCAGGCCACATTTGACCCGCATTCTGGACAGTGATCGTTTAGTCGACGTACCTTCATTTCCTAACAATGAAGAAGACGATGAAGAAGACACTGGCCAAGATGAAGCTACTTCAAATGAAAAGGTAGTCATTGTTCACGAAGTGAGTGAAATTTGGTTAAATCAGGTTCGAATCCTTGCTTACGTCGCGTCACGCTATGTACTCAGGTCTCTTCCAAAGACTCCTTAGCCGGCGTCGCTTTGAAATATAGAATCAATCTTACTGAGCTACGGCGGGCAAATCATCTGTGGTCTTCAGATTCAATACATCTCCGGAACACACTTTATATCCCACTCGAGAAAACCTCATTACCTCCACCAACTGTCACTCCCAGCTTCGCCTCCTCATCGGATGAACCAGCTTCCTTCTATTCTCATAAATTTACTGTACCGGAAGCTATCCAATCTCCGACAGCGACAACGATTTCGTCGTCAGCCATTCGCCGAATTCCTGCATCAGAACTGTCTTTCTTCCCTCCATCGTCCAGGACGTCTGCTTTGTCAAATTCATCGTCCCCGTCACCTCTGTCACAGCCGCGACCTTCTAATAGTAGAATTATCCACAATCGACATGCGACAACTCCTGCCCCGTCGTTAAACACGATTCTGACAGCGTTGCCCATCGCGGCATCTACCCGAGATACGATCATAGCTAGATTGTCATTTGACAGTCCTAGCTCGAGCTACAACGACCAAGAGCGTGAGCCGTACCTCAATGTTCATGAGGGACATGAGCTTGCCGATGTTCAAGCTAGGCGCGAGCCATCTCGTCGTTCACTCGAGGAAGACTGGCAGGGATATCTCGACGGGGCCACTACAAAGCTTTTGAAGAATAGCCAGTCAACATTCACGAATGATCCCGTTTTTAAACAGCCCGATATCTCTGCCATAAACCCTGATTGGAAGGCTAGGAGGGAGCGAGTCGGGCCAAATTTCAATGGACATGGACGAAGCTTTTCCGAAGAGTATACTGGACCGGCTCTTTCTCTACCCAGCATATCATCCACCCGAATACGGAATGTTCAATTAGAGCCCTCTCCTGTCATGCAAATACCAATTAAAAATAATGAGAATTCGAGTCAACTATGTTCGATGCTATGTTCGACGGGCACAAAGAAGACTGATCTGGCGCTGATAGAATTAGACCCAAAAGTTGAACAAGCGTAAGGGTTGACTACAGTTCTCAAATCATATAAGGGTTCTTTTGAAATCCTTAAGGCGCAGGGATAACGGAACGAAATCATCTGTTCTATGCCGTTCATCCTTACCGTGTTATAACCCCTCAATCTACTCTGGTTCTTAGTTCTCCGAGTGAGTTGGCCGTCATTACTGATTGAGCCCTGTGGGCTAGAGTTCCAGGGATCTAAAACTCAATCTTTTCGATTCCTCCAGCAGATATCATTGACTTCGTGGGACTGGATGTTAACCCACATCGTTCGATAACAGTCGTTTGCGATGTCGGAGATGTTTCGTTCACAGGCGAGCCACGCCTCAGCAGCCATCTTCGTCTTCATATTTGCATGGGGCATCTTCATTCGCACACCCGCTCGTTGGTTTGGGGGTATGCTGTGTCGGATGATTTTTTACATCTGTCCCATTTCATCTCTTCTTATGAATGAATTGAATCTCATCGAAATAGGTTGCACACACCACACTGACTGCTCTTTGACTGCCCTCGGAGCCCGCACTGAGCAGCAACACCTCCCGAGTTTGTCCGAGTTTGTCTCCGCTTCAATCCCATGCAAGGCAAGACTACCATGCGTTCACTTCCCCTGAATTCGGTAGCATGAATTCTAGGTCAGCCATACCGCTAAATCTTGTTGAAACGGCAAACATGCGGCAGGTCTGTAAAACTTTGTCACTTCTTTCTGTCATGGCACCCAGTATTCTGAATTCTCACTGTCACCCCCACGATCCCCACATTTTTCTTCATTGACGAAATTTCTCTAGCAATCCCCCTCCATACTCTGCGGGTCAGGCCAGAGAGATGCTGATTAGTGGAGCTCTTGACCATTTCCCATTGGCTAAATATGACCAAAAAAAATCTTCGATAGCCTACTTCGCCGTGCTCTAGTGAGTCAGAGCACTGGACAATCAATGAGGTCTCAACCATGTGCTGGACTACCTCTCTACTAGTTCCCAGTACGCGGTGATCAACCAAGTCTTACACATTCGACTCGTATTGTATGATGATTGTTCGGCCAACATATTGTCAATCCCCAATAGTGAAGAAAGCAGTGATCAACGCCAGTCAGTAAAACCTGGAATGCTTTTCCATGACAAGTGCGCCTCAAGCGGCGTCTCTCTCGAGTTGAAACTGTCGAATAATGTGGTGTATGACTAGTTTTGAGCGGGATCAAGGACCATATATCAGTATCGACCTCATTGACCTGCAGCGGCTACCTCTAGGTTTCATGCATGTGGATATTTCCAACTAGAAACCCACTCTACCTCCACATCCGGCTGCTTTCAACGACTTGTATTTCTTCTCAACCTCTTATGGTCCTACCAGTCCTCCGTAACGGAAGACGGCAAATCTCCGGTGACAACGCTTATCGTTGTTGACGGTACTCCTGTATCGGAAATGTCGCTCTTTGCTCCGATGTCCCAACTGCCTGCTTCGTCTTTCACGGTGTCACCTTCATAACAAACGTAGCTCTTTACGCTCAACCCGTGAACCTCACCTTGTGGGACACGGTTTTGACTGGCATTCTGTACCACCGCATCTAGGAGGACTATGATCATTAAACGACTGCCTTTAAATAGTCTCAGCTCACCTCCAGCCTCAGCTCCCGAGCATCCGAGCTTGATAACATAGCCTCGAAACGCATAAGTTGGTTGGCGTTCAAGCTATGCGTGAACCATCTAGGGCATTTGAAACGGGAATTTCTAACCTAGGAGGACCAAAAGGGCATGAATGTAGCTTGTTATTAGAGAGTGGCATTCTCTCCTGGCAGCTTACCTATCACCCAGTATATCATCCCGAATAATGCGGAATGTCCAATTAGAGACTAAAATTGAAACCTGAAATTTATATCAGAAAAAGAGTGCCATTTTTGTACCTTCTCCCTGCAACGATGTTTTATTCACCCGCCACACAATAGCGCTGTTGATATGAGCGACGTGGAAGTTTTATTTCTACTACCACAATACCACTGGGGGCTCTGGACTGAAGACCGAACACTCTCGGAAACAAAAAAAGCCGCGCCGGCAAGGATAAATCGAACAACATCTGCTATCCTTTGGTTGGCGGGTCTCCAAGGGAGTGTGCTCCCTCATCAGGATCTGAACTTAATCTTTTCGCTCCTCCTCTCCAACAGATGACAATGACAGGACAATGTGAACCCCATCCCTTGATAGCAATCGGATACGTTGTCAAAGATCTTTCATTTCCTTAACCAAATTCCCCTTCTATGTGGTTTTACTCATACTCACACGCGCCCCTTGGTTTTAGGAGGTTTTAGGAAAGAGAAACAAATCAGGGGGACCGAGGGGGTTGTGCGTGTTCGATTATTTTTATGGGTTGTTTAGTTCGTCTATATCAGTTTCATTTCCCCCATGTATGGCTCAAATTTAAATACACCACACTGTAGCAGATTGTAGCATTGAACTGTTAGCCCGCTTTTTAGTCCTGCACCATTCGTTCAACTGCTCGGCTCGGCAAACGGGCGGCAGGGCCAAAGCCTTCCGTCTGTCGTTAGATTAAGATTCCAGCCAACACTGTTTCTCACTACCACCAGAACCCCCGCTTGATTGTCATATAGTTTGCGCTTGTGATACGTGATTTGTACGCTCACGAAAGAAATAGCAGTCGGTGAAAACCTTTTAACCGGTTAAACTAGTTGAAACTCTCGGAACCACCACTACCGTTGTTTGTGTCAATACCAGTGGCGCATCGATTCCGGTGAATTGTCTATCCCGCCAGGACAAAGGCTTTTGGCAATGTCATCGTTGCTTGATGACAACACAATCACGATAATGCTTGCGCCACTGCCAACCATCTAGCCTGCTCAATTCCACAGCATCGTGTATCAAGTCTGTTCTTCTTACTGCATAGATATTTGTGAAAGTAACGAACACAATACTATCTACTTTTACATTGCATTCATTTCAACACATCTTAGGGCGGCGTCGCTGATGAACACAGGTATAATTGGGCTCGAGTTTGTTATCGGACATTCTTATTCATCCTTAAGTATCAAGTTGTTGAACACTAGGACCCCCTCGCATCGCATCTTTCCAGGAAAGTGGAAGGTTTGAGAGATACTGACTTTTTTGACACTCTTTCTATGAGTACCCCCAATCGGCGACCGCATGAGCGTATGTAGGATTGTTCCAGGTTCTTACGATCCTATGTTTTGAATCTCATGTGTATGATCCTCGTCTGAAACCTCATGTATGTAGTGCAGATGTCATCAGCCTGTAAGTTTACGCTAGTCCTTGAATGCGGAAAGAACAAGTAATATTGATAGATTGGACAAAGGCGAGATTATCTATACTTTCGGACCATCCGCGGCCGTATATCTTCCAAGGTCAATCCAAGGTCACAGTTGGGAGTGGAGGGTGGATGGAGAAGGCTAGAAGCGTCGCTTAAGGGCGAGATGATTGCATTCCGTGTCCGGGAACCAGGGCCACCTATCTTCGAACTATGTTATTTCAGTCAAAGATTGATTTCTGATCGTGTAAATGTCAGCTCACCTAGTGAACGGAAAATTGATGCACATCGAGTTGACCGCGTCACTGCGGTCTTCACTTGAGAAGCCGATGTGAATGTTGAATCACTGATATGTATGGATGCGTCAAGTTCAACCCAACTACCACAGCATTGAGCAATCATTCCGTAACTTGGTTAAGCTGGCCGATGAACACGCTGGGAGATCCAGTGAGCTTGGGACGAGATAATGGCCCAAACCAATTCTTAAAAGATACAAAACAAATGATAAGGTTCACTTTGGGTCTCTCAACCTCGAAAAGGATCTGTGTCATTTTGAACAGTTCCATGTAAAAACAGAGTGTGAATATCAGAAGCCTTTGTTGTATCCATGTTTCTCATAGAATGCCTGCATTCTTTTGACAATTAAATCCAAAGCAGCAAGCCATTTGTCAAGTTCCTCGCTAAGGACATTATCGGTAACAGCTGGACCACCATTTGGATCGGACGCCAATTTCGCGTAAAAATCTTTGCGGTAAGGACAGGCCTTCATTGCGACCTATTTGACCCGTTAATTGATCCATTCAAAATAATGACTGAAATTGCAGGTACGCACGGAAAATATACCTTTCACGATGAAGTTATGGTATTGCTTGAGAGTTCGTTCGTATCCCTTTGTGAAAGCTACTGATAACTCCTCGTTCTCATTCGCTTGAGCATTCAAGAGTGCAGTGCAGGTGAAAGCCAGTCCTCTCAGGAGCCACATCAAGCCTTCGGTAGCCGTCCGTTTCTTTTCTCCCTGTTCGTTCTTCACGAGTTCCTCAAGCGTCGCCGATTGAGTAGGCGCCGCATCATACCGAGCACGGACTTTCTGGAGGAATTTACTTCAGCGTATTGACTTGGATTCGAAGAGCAGAACATACGATGATATTACCCTTCAAATCGGATTGGACGGCAGCAAAAGCAGTCGATCCAAGAATATCTACAGATCATTACTTTCTCTCTCACTTTGAGCAAATCAACATATGCCCATACCAAACAAGCCAAGAACACCTTGAGAAGCTTCGAGAAATGCGAGAGTATCGACGCCAGCGTCGGTAACTGGAACGTCGGCAAAGGACTAAACCAAGAATCATCAAGATGGGTATCGATTTCATGAAAGAGATTATTAGTACTTTGACTGTTTCGAGGTAAGGAGCCATTTCCAAGGTTAGGTCAGAAGGAAAGAACAAAATTGGTGAAGATGGTATGGTGGTGGCTCGTGTAGTGGGTGTGTTGGCAACGTGCCAATAATCTAATCTAATCATCCGGCGCTTAATATCATACTCAAGAAATTGCGCTAGATTGCGTTTTTTCCTTCTCGTTCATCATCTACGCTCTTCAACAATGCCCCACGCAGATTCATCTTTAGTACCAGAGGAGTGAGCAATTGTAGACAATTCTGCAGATTAAGAGTGCCCAACCAATGTCTGAACGAACAGAGTCAAAACGAAATCTCAATTCTGGACCCATGTTCACGGCCAACTTGAACCATTACTTGATGGCCAAAGGAACTGGGTGCGAGTCTGTTCCCCTAAAAAATGCGCGTTACTATTTAATTGACCGCATTTGTGATACTAGGTTTCCAACCTGGCTAATACTTCATCTCTGATCTACAATGCTTTACTCGCATTCCCAACCCACTTCGGACCACATCCTGATAAGGCAGTCAACTGGTGTGGTAAGCCAAGATGATCTTTCCATCGACTTGCATCAAACGACATAGATTTAGGATTCTATATCGACTCCAACCGCTTTCCCAAGTCTACTGATTCCGACGTTGAGGGCAACCGTCTTTTACTTGGACCGTTTTGTGGAAAACCAGCTTGCCAATTCATCAATGTCACACCGGGTAAAGCTCGCGGTGTCTGTGCGGACGCTTTCATGGATGCAGAGACAAAATTAGTGCCAGACGTTGACAGCTATCCGGGACATATAGCTTGCGACGGAGAAACCAAAAGCGAAATAGTGTGCCCTCTGATACATGGAAACCAAGTTCTTGGAGTTCTTGACCTGGATTGCCTTGCTATGAGTGGGTTTGATGAGGACGATCAGAAAGGCCTGGAAAAAATAGTAGAACTGGTAGTAAATGCTTGCGACTGGCATTAAATCTGGAAACATGTTGTGATCTGGTCGTGATTTATGATGTCTGGTTTCTTTCATCTTGTCAATGCTTGATTTAGAATCTTCTAACTTCGAACATCAGGGAGATCCAAAATCACCTCTTTGACATGCAGTGGCAGTTTATCACTATGACCTCTTATGGCTTTCCTATCCGACTATTACAATGGAGGTTATCTGTTTTTCGAAAAATCCCGGCTATCGATGATGAACCAACTAGAATGTACAAATGCATGCTGTGATATTGTATCCAGATTCACGGTAGTACACAATGGTAAATTAAACATTTCCAGGGAACAAATTTAGAAAGGAACAGGCATTGTGGAAAGTTCAAATACTACGGACCCAAGAATGCTCAAAATACAACGGTACTTTCGATGTGGTTCCCCCAAATCCAGAAACTAATTGACAATGGCCGAGCCCAAGATTCAACAAACACCAATACACACATTTTAGGTTGCTTCATGAATATCATGATTATGAACCTTCATTAAACGTGCCCCAAGTAGTAGAAATCCTGCTGGTTAACACGAAATCCTACGAGCTTAAATAGGAATGGGATCATATCAGGCAAACCGAAAAGACATATCATGCTGGAGCATCACAACCAGAACAGTACGGTAGACAATATCACAGCTGAACGCCAACCCGGCTGTCTCGGACTTTTGTCCAGGAAAAGGTTAAGCTTACTCTTCGCGAAGTCATCTATCGGAAGTAAGGAAATAAGGTCGATCTGAGTATACCTGCCCGCTCTTTACTCCCGTGTCCTAGATGATAGGGAGGTTAATAGCACAATCAGGCTCTCCGGATCGCAAGGCCTTTTTCAACGTTGGCTGCCCCTTTTTGCTTTTTCACGTTTTTAGGATGAGGGTCCGAGACGATGCCTTCCGCAATTATGTAGTGACTTTGAGCAGGTGTCGTTATATGAGCGGATACAAATTTGCGGATGAGCAATGATTATCCGTTATTTTACAACTAGACAGGAACATTTCAGGTTCCGGTGGACTCGTTGCACTGGGTTCTAAAGTAGAACTTCGTCCTACCGCGTTGCCCTATACAAAATCAGACAGACATATGTAGTGTATTACTGAGACTCGTTAGTCATCGCGAATTGCATCGTGGTCGAGTTGATCAATGTCCAAATAACTTCATATGCGGGCTATGGTCAGTCCGGCAGCACAGTACTACGTCAATGATTGAGCCAGAGGCTATCCTCGAAGACAGAAACCAAGTTCATGCACCGCGGAGGAAGGAGACGCCTAAGTTGTTTTTCATCAGGGAATTTTCGTGCTTTACCAACGCCCAGCGCATGTAAGTTTTGAAATCTCAGAATTCACCCAATTGTCCTACATTATCTTGTTGAGAAGCCCTCAAAAATGGATGTATGATGCTGCATGTCGTGAAAGTGTTATTTCTACCTCTCGGCGAGGTACAAACAATGCATGCTATTTTACCAGTGACTCGACGTGGTGGAATCATCCGAGAGCACCTGGATCCATTTTTTCAAGTGGAAGATGAATGAATGAACTGAGGTGTAATGGTCTCCTGGACCCCGGTGAACTTCGGTGAACAGCTATAGCTTCATCATGTTACAAATTTTTCGTGCCACCCAATTTATTAGATATGCAAATTAGATGAAAGGCAATAATCCAGGGTAATTAAGTAGGGTTCAGGAAGAGTGTTAGGAAGGACGTTGACTGGCGAACTTTCCGTTTTGAAGGACCCGGATTAGTGCGCATTTGTCACATCAATAAGGATTTATTCGAGTTGTTCGTGTTCAAATCTGGGTTGATCAGTTGACGCATCAGATATCTAGACTCTGGGGATTGAGATTGGTACTCTAAACGTAGCAACTGGGCTGAAATCATACTGGAATCATAATGTACACACTCAGATAATGTGCAAATACATTAATTCGCACGTGATTTCTGCGTTCCCCCGCAGTCCCCCGCTCACCTCCGTGACTCCCGAAAACTGGATGGCAACTGGAGAATGTACAGCAGTAGTTGGGGTTTATGCCAAGACCTGTGCAGAGGCGATTCTGCGAGACAAGTTATTTCAACGAGGCCAGTGGAAATACAGAAAAAATCAAATCCGGTGTTGGACTTTTGCGCCACAAAACTTCCATTTCAATTACTAGTATATGTACATTGGTTCACCTACATTGCTCTCCGCTTCCCCGACTTTTCTTCTCGACATCTCTTGAACTTAGGCGTTCGCGAGAATGGTGAGACGTGCTTACCGTAAAAGAGAAGAAAAAATTCGTATGAAAAACCGCAAAATACCTACAGTCATTTGAGATGGCCATGGGCGGACGTTTTCAATTGATCAGATTCTTTGAGATCGTTCTTACATTCCACCCACATCGCCCCCACCTATCAGCAAGTGATTGAGTATTACCGCAAGGGTTAGTAGGGGTTAGTTCGGTTTCCTCGGAACGCTTTTGAAAAGTCAAGCTTTCCGGATCGGCCGGGGTAAGGTCCAGCCTTGAGCTTGACCTCCATTTACGAGACGAGACTGTCAGAATGCACCATTGTACACAAGAACATCCCGGTGTGCGGCTTTAGCCAATAATAACTCAAATCACTGATTGCCAAACGCCCCTCGAAGCTCATGTTTTCTGCATGGACACGAAATTTCTAGAATATTGACCCGTATTGCAGAGTAATGCAGCAATTTACTTGAACATAAGTAGCATTCAGTCTCATTCAGTACACAAAAAACGCAAACCTTGTTAGCTCCACTCGGAATAGGGTACCCGCGGCTATGGGGCGAATTCGATCTGTTAAAGTAGCTTCCATGCAGGTTGCCTGTAAATATAATCTTGCACAAACTCAAACTTCTCGAGTCTTGAAGCGCGTTTGACTCCCCATAGCCTGCAAGCTCATGTCGATGTCCGTGTCTAGCGGATTACATACTTCAAGTACGTCCACCGATTTTTCTGTCTTTGGAAGGGAAGTAATAGATGTGAGAAATCGTTGGAATCTTACCCTTGGGATCGTGGGATTCTCTCGGATACACCTGCCTTTTATGGGTTATCAATATTTTTTCTTCTGAATTCCATCGGTTCCTAATCTAGTTGCCAGTCTCTAAACTTTAAATCTTCCTCATATGCCAACATCATCACGGCGTTGTTGTTCTTCTGACAGCCTACTAGTTTAAGTGTTTTATACTGATCATCATAACTTTCTTTCTGCCCATCTCCAACTATATATTCACCTCAAGACCTACTAGCTCTTGCAGTTATCTTCATTTTCCCTCCATCCATACACGCTTATAATGCAAAGACCAACATGCACAATGCTCCGCGTCCGCACTCCATCGGATGCACATGCCATCTTTCATGCTGTCTCTTTGAACTTGCTGCCCATCGTCGCCCGTAGACTAGACACTGAAGAACGTCGAGCTATATCTTCAGGTTGTGTCTTCGTTTGGGAAGAAAGAGGTTCCAGCGCTGAAAGTACGGGTGTGAGTCTAAAGTCATTTATTGATTGGCATAATCCGTCCTTTCTGACCTGCACTCTCTAGCTGGGTATCGAACGATGGACAGATTCTATTCGATGGGGACCTAGTCGTGTGAAAGATGTTCGTCCGTTCTATCTTCTCTTCTCAAGGATAACCAATTGAACTTGCGTCAGGAATTCTTATTTTATCATGAAAAAGAGCCCGACGCGGCTGATTTGGAGCTTGCTTCCGAGTCAAATGGCCCGTAAGTCACAAGTTCACACTTTATGTTCTTACTGACGTCTGATCATGATATTTGACGCTTTGACAGTATAACGCCTCATCATTATAGTCGTGGATTTTATCGGGAAAATTTGATAAAACAGACATACTCTGTCTTTGTCGAAACCCCAAGAGGACGTCGCAAATGGCACCTCAGTAGGTTTTCCAATTGACTTCACGAGTGCACCGTTGAGATGTGTTGGGTTATTTTCAGTTGCTTATTTCACTCAAGAATCGCTTGAATTTCTGCATACCATAGACGATATACCTGGTCTTTCGAGCCTTCATGTCCCGCCAGGCAAGTACAAAAGCGCACGCTCAGCGAAGAACGGCAAATCTTCCGCCAGCCCTGTCTATGAGCCACTTGCAATAAATTCTTTCCCAGATGAATCACACACTTTATATCCTTCTCGTCGTCAACTTCACACTGCGCCGACTTATTACAATCCAGCATTCTTGGATGCAAGTCGCCGTCCATCTATGACCACTATTGAACCATCAAGCCCACGTCTGAGATCACCGTCATCCACAGATCGAAGGCGGGTGGAGATTCTTGCGCCACTTGCTTATCTGCAGAACATTCCTCCTCCTCGACGCCACCCCTTGGACGAGGAAGCTTTAATGTCCTTTACGGGATTGCATGTGTAATTCGAAAAACTGCTTGTACCTCTCCTCATGTGGCATGTGTTATGATCCCTTTCAACAGCCCTCATCTTGCCATTTGCTACTTATTCACTAACGCCCACTGATGTTCATAACCGATGCTGTTCTGGCTCTGTGCATAGAATGCTGCCATTTCCGTTATCGATGGTCTTTCGCCGGTTCTGAAATTCTGGACGCCAAATTACTTATGATATCGAGGCCCATCGCTCGATTTAGAACGGACGTTATACCTTGCATTCCATCTTCAATGTTGAACTGTATTACTCACTTAGCTGCTATCGATATTGCTTTGCCTGACTCTGTACTTCCATTGTGTACCGCTTCTCACCGTACGCCCACAACGTTTACGGTCAGCTGTGCTCCGCTTGCTATCACGGAATGTTATCTTTCATTTCATCCGTTGTCGCTTTCTGCCAGACCTCACGACTGATCAACACCCACTGTGATCGGCAATGTGAGTGAGGTTTTTGTTCCCTGCTGCCATAGTCAATTCAAGATATCCACATGGCATTTTGCCAATGGTCGCCCACAGAAAACTCACATATTACCTACAGCACGAGACGTTCAATATGCTGTATTGAAGCTGTCCCCGGGCTATCCTCAATCCATGTCCAAGGTTCAGTTTCTATCGACGGAGAACTACTCTGATGATCACCAGTGGGCTGTAATGTAAATACACACTCCCCCTGATTCATACACGCTGATTATGGCTGATCTTCATCGATACTACTTGATGATTCTTATTACAACTTATTGCGCAGTCAAGACTTGCGTTTGTATCTCGGGTTGAAGATTAGCATTTTTTTCGCTACGGAGTGTATCGACGTTCTAACTACATCCTTGATTATTTTGCCGCTCTGTCAATGAACGACGCTAATTGACTATGGCGGAGTCATTTCAAGTACCAGTACATTAGGAACTCGAAGCAGTATAATCAAATGATGCAAGGCTATGGATGATCAGAGGGCGCGATGGACAGATACACGCCACAGTAGCGCTTATCCCAAGAAGTGATGATTCTACCAGGATGGATTATTTTGGTTCGTTCTCAGGATCTTGGGTGATCCTGGATATGTATTCAAATCCTAACTAGACCCTCCAATTCCTGTGGAGTGGGGAAGTATGCGGCGCAGATAGGAGCTCGAGAAAGACGCTGTTCGAGAATGGGACATTATTCTCATTTCATCCGGACCCGGGCTCCTAACCTTGAGTGTGATGCTGGTGGGATCGAGACGGCATCGGAACAGATATTGTGCACTTAAAGAAATTCTATATTTTTTCGGGAGTTTATAGAATTTGTTCACCCGGGATTCTCACTGTTTAGTTCGCGGGGTGGGTTTAAGCAGATGAGGTAGCAATCTGGGCTTCATTGCAGAACAATATAGCTGCAAGGGGATATACAAGAACAAGGTCGGAGAACAAGAAATAATATTATGAATTCCGGCCGAACTTTGTGACGAGTGCCAGCTCGATGAGCGGCTAATGAGTCTAAGTAGCGTCTCGGTTTATCGGGATATAACCCTTGAAAGCGGAGTCAAAGTCAGGTCATGCGTGGTTAGAGGCTTCAAGTTGCTTCATGTAGACAAGTGCTTAGACATAAGTACATAGCAAACGAAGGAATCGCGCGAAAAACAAGAAAAAACTTACCAACCGAGGTCACGAATGGCTTACGGGTGCTTACAAAAATCGGGGGATGTTGACGTATGGCCGGCACAAGACCAATTTTACCCGAAGCTCGACGGTGGTGCATCGGGGATGCTCCTTTCTGAAATTCAATATCAGTTCCTGTTGAAGACCAGGGGACCAGACTTACAATACCTGGTTTTGCTTCCCGCCCCTACTGATTGCTCATGAACTCATGCATCCGGGTCCCTCTGCTAACTTCATATTCAAAAAGAAATCCCTTCTCAAGGAATCCTTTTGAATATCGGGGTCACGGTGTATTTTTTGAGTTCCTACTACCGGAGTCTATGTTTCCGGAGACCAGGATGTATAGGGCATAGACAGGGCTGTAGTGAAATAGCAGCCCTATGCATGTGGGCCGAATGTCAAACTTAGTTTTGACGTTGGAGAACGAAGGTTTGAGAGGCTTCAAGAATGGTACCAGGTGGCGATGCAGGTGCAGTGTGCAGGTAGTGTAGTATGTGTGAATGTCAATAATGCCTAGTCCACTCAAATTCGCCGGTTACAAGTATGGAGATGCAACTGATAGGCAATAAAAAGGCACAAACATACATACATAGCTAATACGGCATAGTATCCTTGTTGCCACATTAACTGTGATTCTGGGGGGATGCTCCGTTGAATCAGAATCCTGTCTTTTGTTTGCGTTAAGGGATCGGTGTCACTGCAGGATGAGCGATACATCACTACATGTTGAACCGCAAGTGCGATCGTACCGGTGAACCGACGACCGAACTGCCCACCTCGAACAGGCATGGTGTTTCATGTGGTTTTATGCTCCCGTGGAGAGATTGAGGAGATAGAACGAGATAGCGTAGTTTCATGCTCTAAGCCTGGATGTGTTCGAGGTTTCTCTCTTCACGTTCAGGTTCCAGTTTTCTCTCAGGCTGGTGCCCAGCGTATTGCGGCATTTCGAACAGCAAGTTGAAACCTAGTAATGCTTATAACATAGCATGGCATATCAGTCGTTTGAATGGAACGCTTGTAAACAAAACAAAAAACCCTGTAACGTTTTAGTATATTCCAGGATACCAGGGCTGGCTCGGATCCAGAACTAGTATTTTGCGAGCCCGAAAATTAGCGGAGTAGGTTATCGAGATTCGACAGACACGGGTTGTGGACTGACTGACTAACCCGGGAACTGACCCGGATGTGGGAGGGGGCGATGGTGAACGAAGCAAATGGGTGAGGCTGACCAAAAGTCCATCTGAATCGAAGGACGGAAGATTGTTGTGCACTGCACTGAGAAGCGTTGGTGTGTGTTATTAACAGAAAAACCATCGAAGGGAAACGTACGGACGGAGAGTGAATTTATCGCATGGCTTGAAGGCGGCGGAGATTAGGAAAGAGAAAGAGGTTATAGAGCAGGTCGTGGATGAGCTGTGTATGAGACGTATGAAAAAAAACACAAAAACGAGGAATGACCTAACAATCTCCTCGCTGAACTTGGGTGACGCAAATCAGCCTAACATACGCAAGGTTAACTAGATTATCCTGGAGGTGCCAGGAGGTCAGGTAAAGTTAAGGGTTGATAGCAGAGGAGCCTCACCTCCGAGTCGCACACGACCGAAAGAAACACATCCTGATGAGATGAACAGATAAAATCTATGAAGAAAAGGCGGCTCCAGAAGACCATTTTGAATATTTAGCTACGAATTTAAGATCTATACTTTCGAGCCTTGAATCATTGAGACTCACAAGCCCAATGCAACGCACTGACATATTATCTTAGGATCGAAATTTAGGCTGACGAAAGGCTACTGGCAGAACTGAATTATTTAATCTTTACGGTTGAACATCAAAGATATAACGTACGTACGTTGTCCCCGGACTCCAAAGTTGAGATTGAGGATGCACATAAAAATACGAGCGAAAAATATTCGAGTTGAATGCCATACTGACACACACATACAAGCACTGCGTCAATACCGGGTCTAATTTAAGCACCAGTCTACTAATACCTTGGAAAGTGCTTGCACTGCAGCCCCAATGGTGAGCTGCTTCCGCCGCTGCAGTCTGTAGTAGCTTGCTATAACATCGTGGTGAAACGAACAAAAAGGAGCGAGACGAGGTCTCCACTGAAAAAGGTGGGATGTTTTCCGCAGAACATTTTTTCCTTCCGTCTGATATTCCGATCTGGCAGCAAGTGATGTATATCATCACTTGTGGCTTGCCGGTAACCACCCCGCAGCTCCCGTGAATCCAGTTCGCTCTTCATGCATTGACGCCTCTCATTTGAACCGAATTGACATTGACTTTGTTCAAAGAAGATAAAGATGAACCCGTTGTTGCCCCAAGGCTCTAGTGTTCGTTGATTGGTATGTAGTTGGTAGTTGGTAGTTGGTAATTGATAGGTGAACGTTGAAGGTAGGCCTAAAGCAGTCGGCTCTACGAGATTGTCGGTGTCAAAACGAGAAATCTAACAAGGTTTCTATGTTAACGACAACCTATAGAGGGCTTGGTCACTAGGCTACGTTGAACATGGAAACGTCGATGGGCGGCATTAGGTGAATCCGATTCCCTTCCGTGTCGAAAACCGCTACACCAAAAGCACTTCACAACCCAGCTACCAAGATAACAAGTAGTAAGTAAAACAAGAACAACACAAACTTAGGAAGTTGAAATTCATTCAGAATCAATAATCACCAATCAATTTCGAGTCGAAGACAAAGAGGTCTCACTTGTCATTGATTTTTGATATCCCGCATATTCACTTCATTCATGGAATCATCACCGACTCGAGCTCCGTGTCGTAGATTACTTGAGTAGCAGATAGTGGTGGCAGGGTAATAAGATGATCGATGGTAGCCCGTCGGCGGTGACTCGGAGACATTTGCGATAGAATCCATTAAGATGAAGTAGACACTCGCTAGTAGTGCAGTGACTGGTTCGAACTGGTCCCCGAGTTCTGGGTGCTGTATGTATGTTATTGGTGAGGCCTTAAGCTTAAGCTTCAAGCCCCGCTCAACCCAACGAGAAAGGACACAGCTAACCTCCCCCAAAACCTCCTCGAGCTCCCCCATTGCTCCACAAGCTCTGGGAACTCGATCTAGGTAACGTCGAAGCTACTCCTTACATCGAACTACGTGCCGCTTCTCCGTTACCACCTCCAACACTCGAGGACATCCACCCTTAAGCCCCAGTTCCCGGGACCTCCCCTTCTGGGCATATATCTTCTCAGGAGCTTGTACACTTGAGACCTACTCTCCCTACAACCTATTCGATCTCACGTTGACGTTCTAGCGAGTACAACTCCTCCTACGCAACGTTACTAGGTTTCGTATCTCTACCTTCCCTATCTACGCCTTAGGGACCTCCCTGGACCTTACAGGAACCCCTTCAAGGGTCACATCTCTCAATCCCAGCCACTACTAGGTCATTCCCGTCCTCGGTCGCGGTTTCCATAGCTCCCTTCAAGCTCCAGCTTGCTCCTAGCATGCTACAATGTAAACTCCTCATACCAAAACCTACCCTAAGACCTATTCTGACCCAGGTCTTACATTATACCAAGTTCTCCCATCACCGAATGGACTCGTCGCGACGTCAACGGAATGACCTTCTAGTTCCAAGATCGAATCAAAGAAACAAAAGAGCGCCTTATCTCGTGGAAACACGACACAAGCTCAAAAGTCAAACCAGGCTGCTAGCTCCACTGTCATCACGGTGGCAGCTGGTCAACGTCTGATGTCCATCCCGGAACAGTCGTTCGGGGATGAAACCACTACCAACGTAAGGACCCCCGAGGGACGTCAACCTGCGGTTCAGGAGCCTCCTCCAGTGGAACCTGGGATGGGACCACCACAACGGAGGTATACCTCCATGGGTTATGCCCAACCCACCAGTAGTCCCATGGGAGGTTTCGCCTACTCCCCTACCTGGGGAACGAGAGGACCTTCCCCTGGACCGGTACCGCAGCTAGACATGGAGTCAGCTTTGAACGCGGGTGGAAGAGTCAGCGGCCAAGTAGCCGCTATGAAAAGGATACAAGGGGAGAATACGGATCCTCTTACAATAAGACAACAGGAGAAACTTCCGGAGAGGAGGGTATCACCTGCAGTCTCTGAACAGTCTCGAACGTCATCCAGGAGGCTACCGACTCCTCCCATACAGTCCCTTAACCCTCCTCCCCCGAGACGAGGAGGTTCACTCTCCGGCCTCTTGAAGAGTCCAGCTATGAACACGCCTAACTGGGAGCATACTCATGCACTCCATCATAGTAGGACCAACTTCCCAGTGCAACCGTTGTCTGAAATGACATTGCGTCTGGAAGACGTCATTCGAATTCAGGAGTGTATCCCGGAGGACGTAGCTATGGTCTTAAGGGAGGTATTGGAGTCGATGGGGATCGAAATATTAGGAGACAGTCTTGAATTCTCAGACCTATGAGTACAGTTCCTAACGGTGGGAACTCAACTGGAAATAGACCTCCCAGAGAAGGCCCAGTGGTGGCTGATGACCCCAACAAATCGATCAGACTTTCTCAGGTTGTATAACGTCTTACTGGATCCCGAGCGGATGTTAGAATTGCTAGAGGCAGAGGCTCGTTATGGACGATCGTTCCGAAATGCGAGGGGAATACTTCCCCTTCTCCGTCATACCCATGGAAACGAGAAGGATTTCTGTGGCGAAGCGGGTCTGCGTATATTGTACCGAGCATCTAACTACAGATCGGGAGCAGTATGATTCGAACCTCCCCCTTCGAGGGTTAATATCCCGAACTATCAGGCTATCCAAATACTTCGGAACGCAAACCTAGCGGCGGCAGCAGCTAAAATCGATGAGGAAAGTAATGAGGATGCTAACGCAATCGCTACAAAAAATTGTAGACACAGGAGATACACCACGGCTCACCTCCTGGCCCCAGTGGAGTCAATGCCTGATCAGGATAGTCCTGTCCGGGTCCGTAGCGGACAGACGGTATACACGTACATGCCCATGAGGCATATGCACCAGCTTCTGGTGAGGAGTGACCTGACACCGGACGTTACTAGCGGAATCAGACACTCTGATGCTGTCAGAGGAACTTTCTGGATCGAATCTAGAAAGAGCCTTGGAATTTGGTCGCAGATAATTGGGGAACCTCGTACATGGTTCAATGCGAACCAGAGAATGCAGGGGAGTTCCCTCTGGAGCAATTTGACCCGAAAGGGCAGCTCCATGGTTCTGATGGTTGTTTCCGGGGGCAGAAACATGCATCGTCCAGAAATAACTAGGTTCCTGAATTTCTTAACCCCGGCAATATGGCCACGAGGAGTCCCCAGTTGCGCTCGGGAACCTCCCCCACTGTACATGCCCTGGGTCAAAATTCGACCCCTCCCCCCAGAGTTAACCTGCAAACGAAACTGGTAACGCCAGTCTCGACACAGCGGTACCAGTTTGGGGAGGTAAGGATGGATGGTGCACAACATTCATCACGGATCTACGGACAAGATCTGACAGCTCGGCTGGTTCCCAACCCTGTACACGTTCCTCCAAGACTGAGCAATCCATCAGTCATACCCTATCAAGGATCGGTATCGATGCAATCTCAGGCAGTGGGAGCGGAGAGTCAAAGGAGTCCGAACCAACGAAGAGGTGGTACCCCCGCAGGGAGCTCCTTTTGGAACTCCCTTTGTAACTGGAACTCAGATGAACCGATCTGGCATGACGGTCGACTCGGCACGCTCTCAGGAGTCGGCTGTAATGATCCAACAGCAGGCTCAAGTCATTGAGATGCTTCAGGAACAACTCCGTGAGGTAAAGAAAGGATTCACAACGGGGGAAGTACCGACTGGAGGACCCCTTTCCAAAACAGGAAACACGGCGGGATTATTCGGGCGAGCACCTAGGGTAAGGAGAGAATACATGAGGGAAGGTCCTTCTCCTGTAGTTCCCCAGCCAAGGAGCTGGCAAGCTACGGAACCAATATCCTTTAACCAAAACACTCCTACAGGAGCTAAGGATGGAAACCCCCAGGTAGAACAAGCAGGACAGATCCCGGCAACTCCGAGTGTGGACCGACGACATATTCACGAATGGGGAGCCCGAGTGCAAAGAGCTGAACTAGGGGAGTATGTGAGACCA